TCCATTTTTTAGAGAACTATTTTTCTCAGGAATACCAGTTCTTCCTATTTCTGCGAAGGAGTCGTGAAGTGTGGCACACGATTCGCTGTGGATTTCTTCAGAAAAGGACTTCAGAGGAAGATCAGTTTTTAAAATTTCTAAATGTTGTTCTTGCACATATTCTTCTTTTTCTAAATAAAAGATATTTTCATCAATACCACTTTTTTCCACCACAGTTCTAGTGGAAAACTCCTGACCAGAAGACATTTCTTGATTGGTAAATATGTTATCTTGCATGTTTTTAGAGATCCTCTGTGTATCAGACTGTAAGGTTTCGGGGATGGGAATTTCTTCTTCATAATGTGTTTCCTGTTGAAACACATTAGTTTCTGGCTCTTGGAACACCATAGCTGGATCTCCTATGTGAGAATACATTTGTTTCAGATCAAATACTAAGAAGTCAGTATCAGTTGTTTCGGAAGCAGGATGTTGGATTTTAAAACAAGCCTCTTCTGTTTGATTACTATCTGATTCTTGGAATTTTACATCTGTATTTTCTATTTGAGAATCAAACTGCTTTAAGTCCAAGATAGTAGGTGTTTGTTCAGCCATTTCAGAGATTGGAGATTGATCTATAAGACCTACTTCTTTCTGCTGCTCTCTCTCTTGTTCTTCAAATTCCTTATGCATTTGAGAGGAGGATAACAAATTCATTACGACACTGGATGAATCTGGTTCAGCATTTGGAGACATTTTCTCTGCCTGATGCATATTTGATCTTGAATCTCTTTGCTTTAATGAAAAGTCTACGTCATCAAACTTCCTCGGAGGAAGATTAACAAGTGATTTCCTGCTAGATCTTTTGTCCAGAATGCCTTTGTCTACCTGTTGCAGTTTTTCAAATGCTATGATTTCGTGCTTCACCTTTCTCCTTGGGTAGTATCTCTCTTCACCCAGGGGGTCTTCAGATATCATGATAGGTGGCTCTTTTGTTTTGTAACTATCAGAAATTCTCTCAAAGTGGATTTCTGGTAAATAGTCACTTTGGGCACATTCTTGTACATCTTCCTGTTCTGACCAAGCAAGTTTCCGAAAATTGTTTCTCCTCTCTTTCCTAATACTAACTTCACTGAAATCCTCAGCAAATGGATAAACAGTGCCCTCTGCTTGGTGCGGCTTTGGTTTGTCACTTACATCTCTCTCTTTCCCTTCATCCCAACACTGGATAAGTTCAACCACAATAGGCTTCTTGACTTTTATGGCCCTAGAACTAGTACCCTGCATAAATCTGGGTAGTTTTTCTCTAGAAGGTGTGCAATGCACCTGTTTTTTCTGGTCTATCTGCTCAGTGGTCTCAAGGCTTTGATAATATTCTCTTATGTAATATTCTTTTACATTTGACTGGGGAGCAAAAGGACTAGCTGGATAATCATAGAAATGTGCCCTTACAGATTCTCCCTCAATTGATACTTGTTGATCTTTGGAATGTGTTGTGTAAATTTCACCAGTATTTTCAAATAGATTGTTTTCCCTATAAGTGACAGGTTCCACTGTTAGGTTTGAAAGACTCTGAACTACTCCCAAACTGTTTTCAGCAACACAGGCATATTTTCCAGAATCTTGAGAATTAACATCATTAATGTACAATCTATGGCTATGATTAGCTTCTTCAAACTGAAACTTCTGGTTCTGCTTTAAAAGCACTCCATTTTGAAACCATGTTATGACTGGCTGAGGCTCACCAGCTATTAAACATTCAAGAATTATAGAATCCCCTTCTCTACACCTGGCATGCTCTGGCATTTTTTGTAATATTTTTGGTGGCTCATTAGTAATATCAGACAGGAATACAAATTTGTGTCTTGGTGACTGAGTGGCTTGATCTCGAGGGACTGTGTCAGGTTCTAGATCCTCAGGTTGAAACATTTCTTTTGACTTTTTATCCTGTTCTGGGGTAGGCGTAGCTGTTGTTATCTGAATTTCTACAGGAAGAGAAAGGAATTCTGTGTCTCCAGAGGGAGGAACTGGAGGATGAGCTTTTAACATATGAAGATTAGTTTGGCCCTCTTGACTCCAAGATGGATGGGTGCCTTTTGCTTGATCAGACACCAATGCTGGGTGTTCCTCCTCATCAGCATCATCACAGAACACTGGGACTCCATGTGTGTCCACATCATATTTTCGCTTGGCCTTCACCTTAAGTATACCTGTTGTTTTCACTGTTCCATATTGGTTAAACAGCACACAGGTAATAGAACCTTCATTTTGAGGCTGAACAGAAGAAAAGGTTAATGTTGAATAGTTTTCTGAAGTATGAGTGATAAAGCCTTGATTACGTGGGATTGGTATGTCATTGTTATACCAAGTCACTATTGGTTGAGGATAACCTTGAAAATGACACACAAAATTACAACTGTCACCTTCATAAACTTCTTGAGATTGGATTTCTTGAAGAAATAAAGGTGGGCAACGTTGTGGACGTTTGGGGGAAGAATTGTCCCAAAATCTCATGTTTTCTTCCTTCTTCTCAGTTTGGTATTCATCAACTTCTATAGAAGCAGGGTGTTGTAATTCTCTCAAGTCACCCTTTCTTGTTCTTTCACTAGCTATTTCTTCACTTTCTTCAATATTTATAAGTGAACCAAAAGATTCACTGGCATATGGTGTAATAGCCTGAGCTACCTTTTCAGGAGTCTCATACACTTCCTCATTCTGATATATATTAGTGATGTATGTAGATGACTCTCTGGCTGCAGTATTACTCACAATGTCTTCAACCTGTCCTCTGGCTTGGCTATTTTCATTTACTGGAGTCCTCTCATTGTATAAATGGTCTCTTGGTAGATTTTGTTTTAGAAAAGCCTCTTGGCTCATTCTTATCTCAGTCTGGAGAATCTCTTCATCGACAATGGTTTGAAAGCTTGTGTGAAGTTCTCCAGATTCTCTATGTTGCTCCATGTGAATGGGAAGGGTATATGGATTTTGGATGACGCCCTTAGTTGAAATATCTATGTCATCTCTATTTTCAGCTAAATCAGATAGAGACCTGATTTTCATTTCCTCTCCACAGAACAGCGTATCCTTATGACTAGCTTCACTTATCAAAGCTCTTGAGCTTATTTCAGATGACATATCTAAAAGTGATAATTTCTTTTTCTCCTTTAGTATTTTTCTAGCCTCCCTTAAACGTTGCAATTTCATTTTAGTCTCTTCATCCAGGAAACTTTCACCTACATTAAGCCATCCTCTTATGTCCGATTTACCTTCTAAATATTCTTCATCATACACAAAATCTGTTTTCTTACCAAGACTTGTTGTCTTAAAGTGTATAGTTCGCATCATTCTTTTTTGTTCTGCATCTTGTTTTTTGCTAAAGGGAGAGCCAGTAAACCTCAGATCAACCTTCACCCTACCTTCTCCCCTTTCAGCTAAAGCTTCCATGCTTTCATGTGTCTGTTCTGCCCTTTTTAGAAATTCTACATATCTCTCATCTTGCCCTTTTTGGATAACAAGCAATGATGCTGTTGATTCAGCAGATCCTTCGCTATTAGTTGCTAATAACCTATAGCTTCCAGAATCTCTGTTATGGACCCTTTTAATCTCTAAGGTGGAAGAATGATGATGTAGATCACTCTCGGTTTTTATAACCCGACGAAGACCTGTTGGGATAGGCCTATTGTTATGAAACCAGGTCATTTCTGGAGTTGGGCAGGCAATTAATCTACACATAAAAACAACAGGTTCGCCCTCTAAAACATATCTAAACGTAAGTTTTTTGGTAAAAGAAGGCTTGAAATATTCAGGCCAGGAGCTCGTAGACAATATTCTACTTGCATATCTTTTAGCAGCCATGGAGCTGTGATCTACGTCTTCGGAATCTGAAAAGGCGTCCCGCATATCCCCTTCTGAATGTTCAGATTCCCCCTCGGAGAATGATTCTGGAAAAAAAAAATAGATTATAAAGCATTTTACTATTTTCCACAGCATTTGAAAAATTGAAAAAAATGAAATTGCAAAATAGGAAATGAAATAAAGTGCATGCTACAGATTCTCACAAATCTGTAAAAATATTCACTCACCATATTTGTTCGAATAAACGCAACACCATGCTCTGTTTAAAAGATTCTGACACGAAAATCGTTCGTTGTCTGGTCTTTTCTTCAAACGGTTGAAATTTCTTCTTGAACAAGCAAAAATGCATTTCAAAATAACATGTTCCTGTGCATACTTGTTTTTGAAAGCGGGAAAACTTTGCTCTTTTGATGGCTTAAAGGAAAATCTTACCTGACTTGCAGAGAGTGGAATAAACGCCCTTTCTGATCCTTTTGGTTGTAGAGTAAATTATTATATTTTTGAGGATTAGCTAGTTAACGAGTATGTATAAGAACTATAACCATAAATAATTAGCTAAAATGAGAAGGCGTTTATTCGAACTAATACAGCCATTAGGTCACAATGTTATGCAAAGAAAAGCAGGCAGTAAGGATCACATAAGGCAGCTATCTGCAAGCCAGTGTAAGAGACATATCAATGTTAAAATGATATATGTGCATGAAGTGTAAACCGGAATGGGAATGTAACATTTTCACACATCCTAAATAAAGGAGCAATTCAATCATAATTCATTCATGACATGGCATTCTGAGAATGACAACTAGGTTATTGTCTATTGTTCAATCTAATTCATTGTGATTTTGAAAACAAACTTCTACTTCATGAATTCATGCATTAAGATGACAATGTTTCATAATACACACTTTTGAAAATGACTGCAAACAAAGTGGAATATGGCTGATAATTTTGAAATACAGATTTTAAATTACTATACAATAATTACTGTGAAACGCATATAACCATCAACATACTAAATCGGGCATGCGACATAGTAATATATACTCTAGGAGATATATTTTCACATCTATGTCATTTTTCTCAATAATACTAAGAGAAAGAAGGTAACTTAAGGATTCTATTAATCCTTCTGAATTTCTACTTAACTCTCACATCCATCATAACAATACCTTTCATTTCCATCTCAATCTGTTCTTCAATCCTCTCATGCAAAATTGATTCAGGGGCTAAAATGGGAAAACACATAAAGAGATTTTAGTGAATAATTGCATGTATTTTCTGCATCAATTTCTGATTGATAAGATTATAATTTTCCCCTTATTATAGTAAATAATTATGTATAATCAAAATTACATTCCCCAAATTTGCCCAAAAAGTCCATGCCAAGCAAATCAATTGTACATGACAATGTTGACAGAAAGATTTAAAATATTTTTATTTTAGGTTCTCTATGAAATTTTTACTTTTAGTTCCGTAATTCCCCATGCCTTTACATGCATTCAGAGAAGGAATTGACAAACTAAAGGAATAGTCTTTTTTTTTTAATGTCCTCTTGACCAAACAATCACTAAGAGATGAAATCACATTTAGAAGGAACATGCATTTTCAAGGTTGCCACTTTAGTTGACGGCTAGTCTCAGTTTTTCCTGCAGAAAGAATTAAGCATTTTGCCTAATAAACACTCCTTTGGTTTGAACCACCTTTCCAATTTTAAACTACACAAAGTCTAATTACATATTAAGGAGCAAAGCAAAGTATTCTCAACTAAAAACTACTTTTATTACATGAGGAACGGACACAGATTTTGGACACAATCGTTTCTGGGGCAGCTTCTTGGGAAAGGCTGGTACCCTCATATCACTCTCATTCTTCCATACGTGTGGCATCCTGTCTGGAGATGCGACTCCCTTGTTCCCAGTTCCTTATGGTCTTTGGTGTGAAGTTAATGACAAACTTGACGTTCTCTTTGATGATTCTCTTTTTACTTCTCGCGTTGCTTTAATTTTTGACTCTTTGAGTGTTTTAATACTTTTAGTGTCTGAACCAAGAGTAATTTTTGTAACTGCTCTGGTTTGCGATTCATTTGCTAGGTAAGAATAAAGTTAGGAAAAGGCATAAATTAGCTGTGAATAAAATATATGCTGAACATAGAGTAGATGGAATGTCATTAGGATGAGAAGGAAAGGCAGCGTGTTAGCTCCAAAACTAATGTGCGATACATCTACGTTTCTTATGCTCCTAAGAGGGCAATTCAAACAGACTTCCAGGAGGCTGACATTTCTACTTAATCTTGAAGGATAACTTGGATATGAGCTAATTGGGCCAAAATAAAAGAGGAACATCTAAAGCATGGCCTTATGTCAAATAATTAGACAACTGTGCCTGATCCTTCACTTTCGAAACACCTAAAACTGTTTTATCTTTTAACTTTTTAAAGTACAAATAAGGCCATCTGGACTTTCAAAAAAAATGCTCTTGCTTTAAGAACATTTTCATAATCTAATCAATTCACGCTGAGGGAACTGAAAATCCCAGGGCAAAAATGTTTAGCTCAAACCCACTCTGGGAATATGACATTCAAACACTGAACTATGGCAGTAGGTTCTTAGGAAGTGAGTGCAGGCGTCCCCAAACTATGGCTCCATGGGCCACATGCAGCCCACTGAGGACATTTATCCAGCCCACTGGGTGTTTTTGCCACCGCTGCCTGTCCTGCTTAGCAGCTGACTTGTCCTGGGGCCCATAGTCTAGCCCTCCAGCGATCTGAGGGACAGTGAACTGGCCCCCTGTTTAAAAAGTTTGAGGATCCTTGGAGTTGAGAGATCTATATTTATCTCACTTCCATGACACAGCTGACTCCCAATTACACTGCTGCTTCAGAAACTGCCCCAGCTGTCACCTATATGACTTGTAGACAACACCTCCAGATAAATAGTCACTCTGCGTAATCACTGTGCTAGCCAGCAGCTGTGCTAAAACTGAGGGTCAGTTCTCTACATGGTGGACTTTTACATCTAATTGACATAACTAGACCTTGATAATTGAGATATTCCCTTTGTAAGCTATGGTAATAAAATTAGAAATAGCTACAGAGCAAGATCTCAGATTAAGAAGGAAAAAGGCCTGCTTTTGATGAGTCCGTATTGCATATATATTGTATGAATTAATGAGCCAGATTCCTTCTACTGGGTAGGAAGAAAGACCATTGTTTCAGCATTCAATGCAGAGACGGCTGTGCACATTTGTATAATTATACCCTTATCATCTCTCACATCTCAATAGTAATATGGCCAGGATGGGGAGGAACTTGAGGCCAGAGCTATCATCAGATTCTTGGAAATGACCAAATGTCTTCCACTAAATTCCTTCCATGTTGCTCAGTGGTGCTCCTTTGCCTGCAGACACAACACAGGCTTCTGGCACCTGAAAGGTGTTCTTTTTATCTAAGGGGAAAGTTCATGGGTAAGAGGAAAAAACTACTGCTTCCCAAGACAAGTTTATCTGTGCTCTCCCACACACAGTGGAGAATCAAACCTGATGGTGACCAACATAAGTATCTTGCCTTGAGAAAATGCTACAATTTCAGGGGATCAAAGGCTGAAAAAGCCATATCGTTCACTGAAAAATCTTTAGAGACTTCTAATTTTGGTCCAGACAGAGCCTTATTATTTTCAGTGCCCAATTTTCTATGTTCATGGCCTCTTTATACACAACTAGACCCTTTAGATATGAAAATAAAGGGGATATAATAATTGTTGAGTCTCTTAGTACTAAAACAATTACATTTAAGTTTAGCACAGTGTCAGGTACAGTAAGAAATGCTAACAAGTACTACAACATTTTCACTTTCTTTGGTACTTTGCTGGTGCATTGGTAAATATTAGAAAGAGTGGCACCTGTAATCATTGACCTTATCTTCCTGAACCTGCATTTGAAAGTTAAACTTTCTGAACTTAGACTGGAAAGTTAATATTCAGGACCAGCTTGGCCAGTGACTTGGCTGACTTTCATAAGTCATTTCTGAATGGAGTGCTAATTTAGAGATATTCTAATTAATATGATCGTGGATTCAATTTGCATGGCAGAAAAGCTGCATAAAGCGATGAGGATGACATGAATCAAGTCAAAGCTAAAAATCAAATAACCACCTTCTACGCTTAGTACTGCTGATGTGGTCTTCTCTCCAAAGTCATTGTGTGCAATGCAGCTGTAAAGTCCTTGGTCTACCAGCTGAACATTACATATGGTAAGAAATTGTATATTTCCGTCCTGTGATTGCTTCACTCTCTCAGATTCCTCTATCTTTACACCTTCATGAGTCCAGGTTACATCAATGAAAGATTCATCTTCTAAAACACAGAGGAACTGAGCAGTGTCGCCACACTTTACAGTGAGGTCCTGAAGATGCAGGAGAATCTGTGGCTGCTCACCCATTGACTCTTCGGTGCGTTTCTCAAAGAACTCAGTGCTTTCTGCAATTTGTGAAAGGGACCCGGTGTGCTGCAACTCTATGCCTTGAAAGGATGCAGCTGTGTGGGTGGAACTTTGAGATACGCTTTCAGAAACCTGCACTTCATATTCATGTGACGATTCTTGAAATGACTTAATTTCCTTCTGGGATACTCTGATCTCCTGTTTTGTGAAAGAGGAATCTGCCACTCTCTGGGGCTTGGTGGACTCTCTTACATCTTTCCCAGAACTCTGCCTATCTAGGGCTTGCACTGTATAATCAAGTGACAAGAAAAAGAAAAGAATATTAAGATCTAAGCTTTGTCACTTGCCTAGGTTAGTGACATAGAATGGTATGGAAGATGAAGATGAAACATGTCATTGTCATTTAAGCAGCATGCCAGATGCAGTGTGCCCTAGGATGTCAGGATCATACAAAAGAGAATTCATTCCCAGTGGTTCAGGGATGAAAGGCTGATGAAGGCTCAAGCAGCTGCCGTACAGTATCAGGTTCCTTCCTTCTGTTGTAACCACAGCCATCCAAAGTGACACAGTCTCTCTTCCCCTATCCCCCTCCCCCAAGCTGACTATGTTTGGGATACCATTTGCCTTCCTTCCAACATATACTTTATAAATAATAAACAGGTCATTAACATTAGCATTATAAACATTAAGTAGGTCATTTAATGATGCAGTGATTCAATATTGTTTAGAAAAGTAAAAAGCCAAGCAAACTTGGTGCCTAATCAAGTAATTACTGGTGCTCTAATACACAGAATGCATACATTGGTAAGTTTAAAGTATATAGGTTAATCCATAGTTGGGGTCTTGGGGGGAGTTATTGGGGTAACTTTACTAGCAGTAAATTATGGACTGACAACAGTATGCAATGACACAAACAGCAGAGACTCGTTAGTAGCAGTGGGACTAAGAGATGTGCAGTAAAGCAAAGTTTTGGAAGCAAGATGGGCTTTACCTTTTGGAGTTACTGTGAGTGTAGCTGCACAAGTGGCTTCCCCAGCACTATTGGCTGCTTTGCAAGAGTATTGCCCAGCATGCTCTGAGTAAGCGTCAACTATAAGCATTAAAGCCATGCCTGTGGACTCCTCAAAATGGAAAACTATATCTTTTGTTGGTAGAATTAGCTGCTGGTTATGAAACCACTGGACTTCTGGCTTAGGAATGCCAGAAACCCTTGCATGAAATCTGACTGTTTCCCCGCTGAACACCCTGAGGCTTGATACAGGCTGGATGAAGATGGGCTTTTGGCCAAGGGACTCCTTCTTAAATGAAACTGATGAAGACATATGCCATTGGGAGTTTGATGTAACTTCTTCAAATTTGCTAAGTCCTGAAAAGAAGCATGCCAATTTTTAATGTCTTACCTTGTACTGAAACCAGAATTCATTTGGAATTGTCTACAAATCTGTCATGAATTTCAATGATGAATTAGAATTCAGTTTAGTCCTAATGCCTTGAATTATCACTATTAATTCAAAGTTACACAAGTTAATCTCCATTTCTCAGATACGAAAGGGCTAAGAACGTTCACTATATTGTTCATGAAGGCAATAGTGGAGTTTAAGTATTCTTTCTTTTCTTCCTCTGGTTGTAAAATTAGCTTTTCTCTTTTGGAAACCACTTAAAACTCATTATTATGAAAACATCCAATTATAGTTAGTGTGTAAAGAATTAAGAACCCCCCCAGAAGTTTGGCTAAGCCCCATGTATTTATGTACATTTAAGACTACATAGACTATCTTTTCTTGGGAAAAAACCTGATTACATAAAATTATTGTCATCCTTGTTTTGAATTAAAATTCCTTTGCTATTGAGGAAGTGTTTCTGATGACAATTTAAGAGCCCCAATAATAAGAAATGTTAAATCACCTTAGGACCAGATCCCTCAACCTCAGGCATTCTAGGAATGATGGTGAATATATACGTATCTAGTTGGTGTAGAGGCCTGAATTGTAGCTTCTGTGAAATCATAATTGTGCCAATACAATGGGAGGAAGATGACACACTTAGATTTTTTTTTTTTAAGTCTGATTTCCATCCCAGCCAATGAGAAAACAAATCTACCTATTTCTACTTCAGCACATTTTCCCCCATTCTGATTCACGCTGATTGGGAAGCATGAAAGCTGGTGGTGGTGGTGACACAACACAAAAGGTTATGGAGAAAGAGCAGGGCCAACTAAAGAACGACAGTCTGTGGGTCATCACGAGAGGGGTAAATGAGTAGGAAGAGGATTGCATGTAACATGGAAATAATTAGTTGAGTTAGACAAGAATGGTAGGAATGATGGTTTACATGAAGTTTTTAGTAATTGTTACTGACACTGTGAGATTAGAGCTGTATTTAGAGGTAGTTCTTAAAGTTGTTTTACTCTACCTTCTAGTCGCAAGTTGGCTGTACTTGACACTTGGCCTACAGCATTACTAGCAACAAAAGTATAGGTTCCTTCATCTTCTGGATAAGCTTCAGCAATTTCCAGTTGGTAAGTGTCTTCAAATTGAGTCATTCTAAAGAACCGAGATGGCTTGATTTTCTTGTCCTTGCTGTACCAAGACACTTTCAGATCTGTACCACAAAAGAAAAGAAAAAAGACACTTGAATCTTAGAAATTTACCTGCAAGCACAATGTTAATTATACTCATGACTACATTTCCCATTTGTCTTAATAATGTCCTTTTATTTAGAGCATGCCACATCTGCTGTTGTATGATCTTTCATCTTCAAGAAGGAAATATGATTACGGAAGAATACAGCTTGTTCTATCATTGAATTGGTTGTAATGTTTGAAATTGAAGAATTTTAGTTATATCCTTTTTAGGCATTTGCATGTCATGTGGTGGAAGCAGGAACAAGATTTTGACATATTCCGTGACTTTGAGAAAAAGATAGTCCTGGGAAATAGTCACGAAGGGTTTGAACTGAGATTGTAGTTGCCTTCCAGGATAGGAGGTAAGGAAAATCTCCACTCTTGGACTGTAGAAAGATCGATCAAAAAGAGAACTGAGAAGATCAACATTTTACAAAGTCTAACATAGACACCCTTGAAGGGTGAAGGAAAAAAAATCTCTTTTTTTTTGTTGCCAATGAGCAAAAGTTTTCAGCAGTATATATGGCATAAATAATCATACAGAAAACAATCTTTTAAATTGAGAGAGAGCTTCTTGGTATGTGCCTTTGGGCATCTTCGATACACTTGGTTTTTTTTCAGAGTAGCAGTTATAATAAATTATAATATCAATAACTATTTCCATACAAAGATTTGAGCAATCTTAACAGAATATAAAACACCACCATCAAAGATAGAATAACATGGCATTATGTTGTCATAGTTTAGGGTAATGTGCACTTGAAATTTAGATAATTGTTTGAATAGCCAAAATCAAAGCCATCTTGAATTTGGGGCACAGTCACTATAATACTTCCTATCTCAATATCATCCACAAGGATCTTCTAATGTCCAAAAACCTAGCATTTTAATGCCAATATTGGCCAATGAAGGTCACCTTCCTTCCTATGATGGTAGTCGTTTATAACGTACATGTTGTCCTTTTAAAGCAACAAATTGTTTCAATTCCTTGGGTAGCAAGGTAAGGTAGAAAATAAAGTCCTGACACAACAATTTGTCAGCTGTGTGACCTTGAACATGTCATTTAAACTCTCTGGATCAGTCTTTTCAGTGTAAAATAGGATGCATGTTAATTTACGGCCCATTCACTGCATAAAATTTCTGTGAGAATTAAATGATATAACACACAAAAAAGGGCTTTATAAGCCACTGGCACATGTCAGTCATTAAACCAAGACCATCTAACATCACAAAAAGGATGAACAGTGTCTTCAACAACATGCCAAAGGCAGGGCCCATGTGGTATACAAGGCGACACCATCCCATGGAATTTAACAGTCATCCTACAATGATTAAGTTTGTGTATGTCTATGTGTGTCTGGTCATCAATCAAATGGAAGGATGACAGAATGACAGGTTTGGTGTGTCTCCTAACGGGATTCTCTGCTGATTCTTACTAAGAATGTCTTCCTCTGGTGAGTTAAATGAGGCACTGGGACACACATGAACCACCACTGGACATGAACTGCCACCACTAAATGAGCTAAAAGCCAAACCCTCTCTAGGTAATGCACTTAGTGCTTCTGGCTAGCCTGCAATTATCTATGTTGGTCACTGGCATCTCATGGCCTCTGTGAGGCCACCCCTCTCCTCTGCCCCCCATATATACTTCTCCATTGCATTTGCCCCCCAAATCCTGTTCACCTTGCCTCCTGTCTTGTCCAATCCACCTTCTACTCTCCTGGATCCCCTGGGTGGGGACCTCATCAACACTCTCCCAGCCTAACACGACAGCTCCTCCTCTAACTCCTTCCTGCAGTCTCACCGCCCATATCTGCCCCTTCCTCCTTTCTCTATCACAGTACTGTTTCTACAAAGCAAACCTGATCATGTTACCCCAGGGATTAACAATCCTTCAGTGCCTCCTCCACAGAAACAAGACAACCTCCAGAATCCTCAGCATAGACTACCAGCCATTTTAACACCTGCTGTGTTTTCAGCTCTCTCACCCATTTGTGACATCACGGTGCAACCATACTTAACCCACTTGTCATTTCCAGCACATGAAGTATTCCTGCAAGTTTCTGTGCCATTGTCAATGTTGTTATCTCTGCCTAGAATGCCATTATATTTGATGATCTATCTTACTCTTCAATACTTGTTTGATACACCTTTCTCCAACTATCTCCCAGTCAGAGAACAATGAGTTTGGGGTCTTGTCATGGCACTTACAACCTTGGGATCTAGTTGTTTACATAAATCTCCTCACCTACATATTTAGCTCATCAAAGGCAGGAGCAAGGTGTGTGCAACCCCCATACTTAATGTAACATGTCAATAGTATACAATAAATGTTGGTAGAATGAAAATTGAAAAGATGCTTAAATTAATAATGGACATAATAACTAGATGAATTATTCATCATTTTGTTTAGCTAGCTGTCACTCTGTAACCCTCCAAATGATACTGACTTGTCTTTAGAATAAACACTAGCTAAAAGCTAGGTTTATTACAAGTTTTAAAATTCAATTTTTCCTAACTGCTCTTCTACCGGTAGGTGGCACTAGAGATCTTCAGTGGATAACATTGTCCACTGTTAGAAAAGCAACACCTGATTGCTCAGGCCCATGTTTCTTGCTTCAGAAAAGTACTGAGTTCCCAAAAACATGAGAACAGGGCTTTTCAAGATATGTAATTTATTTCCAGTTTGTAGAAGGCAGACCTGTACTTAATAAAGTAAGGCCATTAATACCTGGTCACAGGAAGTCCTGTAACTACTTTCAGTCCCAGGGGCATGAAACTATGTGATTTAGTAAGCTTCTGAAATGACATTTTATTTAATAAATTTAATTCTTTTATATGGAAAACAAGTTTAAAAGAGAGTAATAAAACCTCTATATGTGCAAAATACCACCATGGATAGGGAGTTAATGATCTCATGAATTTTTAAAGCCCATTCAAACATTAAAGATATCAATCATGCAGAAAATATAGTTTTTCTCTTTTTCTTTCTACTTCAATTGGATTCCTGTAGAGCACTTCGAATGTATTTGTGCAACACCTTAAAGGCAATACTACAATGCCTTAAAGACTAAAAAGCACTATACAAATATAGTTAAGGCAACTATTACTACTTTGGATAAGGCATATATGTATGTTTATATTAATAGGAAAAATTTCCTCTAAAAATTCTATGAATGGATAAATTATATAGTTTAGATTTAGTGGATTTGATATTAAAATACATTTTTGATTATTGTGTTAGTAGAATATTATCAAGTCAGTCCTCATTTATTCATATTTGGTATTTCTCAAACACAATGCGTCAAGTACATAAAATCTATATAGTAGTTATCCATGTTGGTCATCCAATACCATATTTTTATGTTTATATAATTCTTCTTTATGGCTAGAATAAAATGAATATATTGAGCACCAGTCACTAGGCAGCTACTCCCATATGTGCTTTACATACATTTTATCCTTTAGTTATGCTCATAAAATCAAAGATATTCATTTGATTTCTAGATCACCAACTCCACCCAAGAGGAGAAATTTATGACTTAGGTCAGAAGACCAACTGAAATACTAACTTGTTAAGAAAAATAGCTCTTGGCAAAGTAGAGATTGGGTTATAAACTAGTGGGAGAAGCATAATATACAAAACAATAAAACTTATTCAGAAGGTTGTGAGGCCCAAGCTTTGAAAGTTTCTCTTTGGTTGGTGGCATACAAAAGCCAAGAAAATAAATGATTTTTAGTTTGGATAAATTAATCATTTATTCTTTTGCTTTATCTTATTTCTATCTGAGGTCCATATTTAATCATAATTGGCTTGAAATGGCTCTACATAGATTTTCTCATTCTACCAATGACAGATTCCAGGGATGAGGGAAAGGGCTGGTGGTATTCGGGAAGCATGCTCTAATTAAGATAGCAGCAGTTAACTCTGATTGAGTGACCATCATATGATGTACAATGTGCCATGTGCTGACTTGGGTCATCTTACTTAATCCTGACAATAATTTTAAGTGATTGGTTTTAATCATTTAACAATCATTCATTCATCCAATCAACAATGACTTATTGAGTATCTACTATGTACTAGGTGCTAGTCTAGGACAAGGCTTAACCCATGCCTTCAGACAACCTACCTTCTAGAAGCTACTTATTTCAGGCACAATGGTACAGAATCCCTGGCCTCATAAAATGTATGTTCTAGGACTGAAATACAACTTCAATAGTATACTCACTATGTTCATGACAAAAGAGAACCAGAGACAGCATACATTTGCCCAAGGTTATGCATTAGACCCAAGATAGAAAACCAGGCCCTTTGATAATAAAGCCCCTACTTTTGAACACTACAGGATATTGCCTTCCAAAGAAAAATACCTTCACACGAGCATTTTCAATAGACTGGATAATGCCTTACATATAAATGGACTCTTCCTTTGAAACGCATGTAGATGTTATTATAATCTAATAATAATTGTAGTTTTTCTTACTGTATTTTATCCATCAATATAGAAAAGTACAGCTAGTGGCTAGTGTCACAAAGGAAACATGACCTTTTTGAGATTAGTAGAAAATAACAATCTAATTTTTCACTGTGATAAAATTCACTACCTTAACCATTTGTATAAAAGAGTAGTAGAAAATACTGATCTAATTCTTCATTAAATCATTCAAGTACATCTTCGGCTACAATCTCATTAAGCTTCAAATTATGTATGAGATATCTGTGATAGAGGAAAAGGTGAGAGAAAAGTTCTCTCACATCAGGCTTTGTAAATATTAGCATTGATATCCTTTGCTCATAAACCTACCTGTTCCAGAGACTCTGCATTGAAAACGGGCTGGCTGTCCTTCGGAAGTGGCAGTGTCCTGAAGTGGGGTGATGATGGCAGGAGGATAAACTGGCATTTCCTGATCAGGAGACACAACTTCTGGAACTAAAGAAAGAGACCACAAGATTTATCACAATTAGGTCACCACAGAGACCTCACGGAAGGGAGTATATAGATTTATCTTAATTTATTTCGCAGTGGAGTGCTTTCCAGGTTGGGTAACAAGTCTACTTTTATGAACTCCAAATTATAAATGCATCAGGAGAGCACAAAAGCTGACTTCTTGGGTTTTATTTGAAGCTGGGAAGTAACAAGGAGTTCCTACCTTCCACTGAAAGTGAAGCTGATGTTGTGGCAACCCCATAGTCATTCTTGGCTTGACAGGTGTAGACAGCCGCATCCTCTGGGAAGGCTTCAATTAGCAAAAGCGTGTACTCTTGCCCATCATGAAGAAATTTGCACTTGAAGCCAGTGGAAAGCAGCTGCTCTTCCTTGTACCAGGAAATTTTGGGCTGTGGTCTGCCAGATATCACAGCACAGAAGCGAGCAGGCTTGCCAGACTGCACAGTCACAGGCTGGAGCTCCTGCAGAACTTGGGGTGGTTCAGGAGCTAGGAGGAAATGACAACCCATGAAAAAGGGTAAAAGCACAGGACAGAATTACTCTACATTAATTTGTTGGTGGGTATGTATAATATTCAACTTGCTTCAGGATATTAAAACATTCTTTGGGCTATGAAACAAGAAAACATTTGAAATTTGTCCTCAAGGGAATAGCTTCAGAAAGATATTTTTGATATTTTGAGGCATGCTGGGAGTGCAGGGTTCTTTAATGTAACATAGCATGTCCTGGTTGAGGTGGGGGCATAGAAAAGGATACCAAAAATAATTCTAGAATAACTTCCATGTGCTACCTATTTTTAAAGTCATTTAGGCAAATCACGTGGTGAGGAGGCTCGTGCCATTCAGGTTTGTTTGTTTTGCAAGCATTTGAGCACATGTCATAGGCATTTTGTTATATGCCAGTGAAATGCAATCAGTAAGCATTGAATGAATGAATATTATTTCAGATCTAGTTAAATGCAATTAGGTAGATTTAACAAAATGTAGCTTTTCTCTTATGCACTAAAGCATATTCTTAGTGTTGTGATGAATGAGGGCATCTGGGTAGTTTATGGAACCCAGAAATAGGAAGGAATGACTTCTTCGAGGCTGGATTCTGATGCTACCATGGAAAAGACCTTTCTGTCTCTGTGCCTTTCTTTCTCCACAACCAATACAGAGATGATAATAACTGAGCGCTATGACTATTTGTTTCTCTAGGGACCCAGGGAATGTTGACAATATGGTTTCCATTTGTGAATCTTAGATTATCCCTAGAGTTCCTGCATCTGCCTCAGAGGTATTTTGTTCAGAGAGAGATGGCCTGAGATGAAGATAGGGAAGGAAGTTCCATTTTTCTGTATGCATCTAGGTCAACCCATAGGCCAACTCCAATTCATCCTCAAGGCTTCTAATGAGGAAAGCAGAGGTTTAATGGCACCTCTGAGGACTGTTATGAGGCTCCTCAGGAGTGCTTTGGTAGCATGTGGAGTTCCTCCTCCGAAGTAAGAGCACTCGGTCATAGAGCTTGGAGCAGAGAGGACCTAGTTCTACATTACCTATGGCCCTTTAGATCCTTTAGGATCTCAAAGAAGATCTGTGGGTTCTCCCAGGCACTGTATAGCAGAGGCTGGATATGCCCCTCTCACTTGGTAGTGCTACTAGTACTTATGTCAGGACAGAGGGCAGAGAACTAAAAAGTTCAATGCTGCATCTAGAAACTCATTTAGGGATGCTGTAATTGACACACTGTGGATGTTTGGTAGTGTTGATCATCTAAATGAGGCTCTGGCCATTAGGTGCTTTTTGAAGATGATATCTCAGTAGTCTTTTTATTAGCGGCCATCCCTTTTCCATAGATATAATGTGTAAATAAATGTTGCTATAACCATGTGAGTACCATAAGTTCTTTAGAAATTGCCTGGGAACTACCAGAGTTTGGTGCTAAAGGGGAGGATTATTTCAGATGGATCTACAAAGTACGTGAAAATCTCTCCCTGCATACCATTAACATAGAGAGTCACAGAACTCCTGTTCCTTCCTGCCTTGAAGGTATATTCGCCCGCATCACTATGTCTGGTCTCAGAGATAAACATCCGGTGGATTCTCCTCTCCACCACATATTTGTGTCTTTCTTGAACTTGGAAATTGATTTCAATGCCATCTTTATACCAGTGGGCATCAACATCGTCTTCATTGACTTCAAACTCAATGACAGCACGCTGTTTCTCAATGACCTATTGATGGGATGACATAAAAAGAAATTTGAAGCCCTAGTTTCCTTTAGGCTAACCCATTTCTAAAACTGTTCATATGAAGCACACAAAACCTATATACATGTATTATGATATAATATATCAGGTGACCATTTCACATTTTAAACTTTCCTGTCCAGCCTTGACAAGTGGTACTCAAACCTCTTTCATAAAGAATCATACTTACAGCTGCATGTAAGAGGGAGGCTGCCCCCAAAAGGCAATTGTTTCATCCTTAAGTGTCTGCTTCTTAATTAATAATTATTTATGTTAGAAATGATGAGATTTTACATCTGGGGCTTTTTTATTACCTACAAAACTCTTTTAAGTTACTCGTCAGTTTGATTTTATATGATAGGCACAATAAGTTTGTGAGCTAAGTAGGAATTATCGTCTTTATCTTAAAAGTGAGAATACTGTGGTTCAGAATTGGAATATAGAGGAGGGAAGACATATCCAGGCTGTCTGTGCCCTCACTGAAGGCTTTTGCACTATGGCCTAACCTAAGGCCTCAAAAGCTGGGATGAGCAAGATGAAGCTGACCTCCATGGGCATTTCTCTGAACAGGGTGTTTTCCTGGTATCATTTGGGAAGACTGGCACCCAAGAGGAAAAGTCCCGAAAGTGTAACAGAGAACAAGGGTATTGGTGCATATCCTTGTCAGGAATCCTGCATTGCCCGGACTGGGCTTCCTCTCAACCTCCACAGGAAAGGGGTCCAGCCTCTAAGTCCCTCCATACCTGCTTCTCCGTAGGTGGTAACCTTCTGAGAAAATGCCACCTTGTTCTGAATTTCCTTACTTCTCACTGATGTGTGAGCATCACAATTTACATTTTAATTTTTTTCTGTTTGACTCTGCTTGGCAATTAGCCATGTATTAGACAGTGAATTTTCCACAGCTGCTCGACCTAAGTATTTAGACAACAGCAAAGGACGGTATGCTGAAAAGGATTTGCTCTCTACAATTTGGATTCAGTTGAGAGGCTGAACTCAGGATCCAGAAAGCTACATGTGGCCCCAGGCCACAGGTTCCCTACCCCTGGATGAGTTAATTTCTAATTTTTGAAAAGACTGTGGTTAGAATATTTCAAAGTGAAAAATTAAAATATAAAACTATAGATTTGGTACTATCGATGAATTTTTAAACCATCGGTATATAGACAGTACCTGAACTTCTTTTTTAATACTGCGGATGCGGACATCTCTGCCCTCCACAATGAGGTTAGCTTTTGACATGTTGCCTCCCGCCACCACTGCGTATTGCCCAGCATCGGACATTCGGCTGGACGGGATCAGAAGGCGGTGGACATATTTTTCCTTCTGAATCTTTATTCTGAGGATGAAGAGGAAATTAGAGTTTATTGTATGATGATTTAAAAGTAACTGGGAATTGCTGAAATGCAGCAAGACACAGCAACGGACCTGTCTTCGATCTGCAGTTCTTGGCCATCTTTCATCCACTGCACGGTGATGTCAGGTTCAGAAATTTCACATTCAAACATGGCTCGCTTCTTCTCAAGAACTTTGATATCCTTAATGTGTTTTCTAAATTCTATATGGCGGGCTGGAAAACAGCATGTGAAAAGTCAACACTTTAAATAGCTTTATGGAGGTATTATTCACATACTATACAAGTTATTCATTTAAAGGTATCTAATTCAATAACTTTCAGTGTATTCAGAATTATGCAACATCATCATATTTTTAGAACATTCTTATTTTCTTGAAAAGAAACTATAAACCCTTTAGCCATCACCTCTTAGGGTTTTCCCATTGCTTTCCCTCTACATGTAGGCAACCATCAATCTGTGTCTCTATAGATATGTGATCTGGACCACTTCAGATTAAGGAATCAAAGCATATGTGTTCTGTGTGGCTGGCTTCTTCCACTTAGCATAAGGTTTTTAAGGTTCATCCATGTGGTAACTGATATTAGTACTACCTTTTTATTGCTAAATAATATCAGCAATTTATTTATCTCTTCATCAAATGGTGCACTGACATTTTATATAGCATGTTTGACATTTTACCCATGGATAGGACATTTATGAAGCCATACCTTCCACATAAAGGGTGGCTGTGGATGTAGCCTTCCCAGCAACAAACGTGTAGTCAGCAGCATCCCCAAAGTGAACATTCCTGATGTTCAGTGAGTGTGTGAGCTTTTTGGTTCTCATCTGGCACCTGTCAGTTGATTTGATTTCCACACCATTCTTCAACCATTTGTAAGAGATGCCTTCATAGTTCACTGTCACTTCAAAGGTAATGGTGTCTTTCTCTTCAGCATTGATGTCCTTCAACATGGATGTAATCATGATTGCTGCAAAAGAGAATAGGAAAAACACCCAGGGAGATGATGAAAATATGATGTGGTTCCTAACAGGTGCAGAATGAAAACTTGGATTCTTTTTTTTTTTTTTTTTAGTAGATTACAGATGAGAGATATGAGCTCTGATACCTTCCATGTACTCCTGGACATGACGGTGCCAAATGACACAGAAATAGAAAGAACAAGTGACAGACACTGGAACATCTTTCCTAGAAGACTTCAGTGCTACTCTACTTGGGAAACTTTATCCAGCTGGAGATGCTAGTGTTTAACTCAGAGTGAACACACAGTAGATGTTACAATCAAGGATTTTTGAGTAGAGGAAATTTTCAGGAAAGTGTAGGATATGGGAAACAATGAGTCTACTGAATATTATTATCTATTTCCTTCCCTCCCTTCCTTCCTTCCTTCCTTCCTTCCTTCCTTCCTTCCTTCCTTCCTTCCTTCCTTCCTTC